CCCCATATTTAGTTGAGAAACTGGGGTCTACTGTGACATTTCCAACAAGCGATTTTCATCTCAAAGAATACGGTGCAGCACTTCAACACTTCCACAAAACATACAATTTCTGTTGGCAGCCCCATTTTTTTCAAAACCAATTGGTTGTATCCATGCTCACTTTGTGTGCTCCTCGTGAATGCGTAAGTGCAAGGAACATGCCTATATTACATTAGCAGTGAAAAATGTGCAGGCAGATGTTTACTTGATGACAGTAAATAGCAGCTGCTAAACAGAGAAACATTAGCTTCTTAGCAGTAACAGGTAACCAACCAAAATCTGTACAATGCACATTGCCATAAAAGCATGTAAATTTGCTGAGCAATAACTTTTGCCGAGATGCCACATGATAAATGGGGCCTAGACCTGATGGGGTTCTCACCTTGGCTTCAAAATTTTGAGTTCCTAGCACCAGCCTAACGGTGAATGTCTTCTCGTGAGCTGGACCGGTCTCTTCCACAAGCTCATACTGAGGCTGGAGGCGGTTGAAACGAGCCAGCTCATTCAAGTGGCACATGGGTGTCTTCTCTTTGGTGTTTGCCATGTTCAACTGTGAGAGAGAAACATATAACAGTTCCTTAACACTAAATTAATGCTGTTTTTCACAACGCTATGTTTGAAAATTGGATATTACAAGAGAATTGGTGTTGCTGTGATATCGGAGAAAATAGAAGGACCCTGTTCACATTGCACTTCTAATCTAGTTTACTGAAGCTTACTTGGTATCCCGTTAGGTTAAAACGCCTAGTCCCTAGCGTCTTCAAGGCAATGGACCAAATCATGAAAGTCCAACACTTGCTGTGCAATCCACACTGCTTTCTGAAAAGTTCACCGCTAAAGTGAACAGGCTTTGTCGATGGGCCTATTACACATGACGTATATGACGTCATCAGTACTGTTGCCATGACAAAATACACTGAATGCCCCAGCTTGCTTCAAAAATCCTGGAATGGGTCCATCATACTCCGTCAACATCTGGTCAACTCGGGCCTTCTGGACAAAGTCCATCAATATCCCCCCACAAGGGAGAGTGCACTGTGGTAGATAGTTGTAACACATTGCATGTTAGTTGGACCTATTCCTGCTATGCCATGTTGTTTAAATCATAATTTCTTGGTCAACAAGTTTAATCAGTTAGTTTTGACACCAATGGGTACGACGGGTTGTTCTGCATGATTGGCTGATTGTGCTGCGCTATCAAACAAACATTTCAAAAATCTCTTGACTCTCCAAAGCAACTTTCAGCAACAGTGAATTACATGTAGAAAGGAAATGTGACTGACTGATGGAGAAGTTACTGATAGGAAATGCAAACAGGCCGATAGTGCAGTGACTGACAGATTGTGCCAATCAACTGATCGCACTCAACACATGAATGTACCTCAGTTGGACCTGCCCCTGTTGCTCCTGTAGGACCCTGTATTGACAGACCAGCTGTTACAGTCTGGCTGGCCATGTTAGGTACAGGCAGAGTGGTGCCAGTCCCAGCAGCAGCAGTGTGCACAGGCATTGGGCCGCTGGCAACTGGGTGAGGTGAGGAGGCGTGGGACATGATCGCAAGATTTGCTGCCTAGAGAAAGAAAACATGATTATTCCTAACCAGGGACTCTGTCGATTATTTGAGTAATTGATCATTTATCAAACGTTCAAATTTTATTCATGAAATTGGATATCCAAAGGATAAAGTCCAAGCAATAGACAAAGGTATAAATTCAGTTCTTGGTTACAAATTACATTCATTTAACACACATTAAAGTGTTACAAGTAAACGAAGGAAGCTGAATACATGTGTTATCTGGAAACTTCAAGTTGACATGTGCTGTGTATGTATAACAGCCTCAAGCAAGCTTAATTAATATTGACAATTCTATAGCTCCAGCCAATGGGTGGATGACTGTTACATGAGACTTACCGCAAGAGGTTTTCAGAACTTCTTGCAACTCTAAGAAATGGCCCAAATCCTAATTAAACATTCCTTTTTCTGCAGCACCAGGATGATCAAGATGGACACCACTTTGTGTTGTTACATGCTGATGACTTCTGATTTTGTGTCATTACAGAGTTAGTCCATTTTTGCAGGGGTATCTACATGTATTATGTAGACATCGCTTGACACCCTACCCATCAACCTTATCCCTAACCCTACATAATACTACAAATTACTACCTGTAGTAAAATGTAGTACTGAGCACTTTCGCTTGTAAAAGGACATGACCTTATTGTTCTCAGAAGCCATCCAATACAATAGATAAGACAATGTACCATACAGTGCTGTGGCACTATGAATGCATGGTTTTATTGTTCTCTGTACAACTAACAACGGAAGTAACCTAGCCAAAAGTAGTAATCTGTAGCGCTACACTGTAGGTCCTTCAGGCTCAGACTATTACTTAGTATTTTGTAGTAGTGTAAGCCAAACAATATGCTTGGCGGTTAGAGCTAGAAGACTGGCCTGACAAATGCTCAGAGTTTTTCAAGTAAAGTTATTCAATATTTTCACTGCTAAATTTCACTCTCTGGACATGTTATCACTTCCTGATAGCTTATAAACCACTGCAAAGGAAAAGTGATGTCCATATATGGAACTCTTAGCGGGGTTATGTAGCCAGCCGTGGTGGCTGCTGTGCACTCTGAGGAGGACTGTGCACAACTTTTGGCATGTTGGTAGGAACTATAGAGCTTTAAGTAAAAACTAGAGCCCTGACTCATGTACGAAGAGACGCCTGCTGGGTGCATCCATGTTTGTACACAAACCTATGGAAACCTCGAAATTTTGTATGGTGTTTTTACGGCTATTTGCATAGTTGCGTCTGTATTCTAAAATGATTCATCAACAAAGCAGATACGAAAATCAGTAAATGAGCATTTCATTTTACTCTATGTCAACAATGCAAATGCAATTAGAGTACATGATTTAATTTTTATTCTAGCGGATTTTGAATGTTCTACAAGCACACAGATTCAAATTGTCTGTACCTAGGCATGGACACTGATGGAGAATGAGAAGTTAGAGCTCTAGTAATTTAATACAGCTCTATGGTACATCGCAGGAACCAAAGTGATGGTCATTCCTTGTGAGATATTTTTAAAGTTACAAAATGAAACACAAATGACACAAGCATAACTGGAAAGTTTGACATTGAGAATTGAAGCACACAGAAAAGATCACACTTTCAATACCCCACCCGTAAAAGTTGTTAAAAGGTTGCTGGACCTAACCTTCCCCATTCACACAAAGTTAAACACCCATATGGGACTTTGTGCACAGAGGCTGTTGGACTTTGTTTTTCTGAGGTAAGCCAAACCCAATGCAAAAGTCAGCTGTTTGGGCCTACCAGACCTGTCCCCACAGAATTTAAAACTTTACTACTGTTTAATTCTGTGTAGTTGGGGAAGGTTAGGGTTAAAAAAATCAACAAGAGAGTTATCCTTTTTTGAAACACCTCCTGACACGGCACAACTAACTTTGTGAGAGATTCACACGGCCAACAGTGTTACAGCCAGCCATATTTTAGTGCAGGACAATTTAAAAATGGCGAACGGAAGGAATGAAACGACTGGAGTCTCGCGGATCACGGCCAGGGGCCCCCTTGAAGAGACTCAGATTGCTTTTTCAGTGAGTTTTTCTCTCCAAATTGATTAACCCTTAACGCCGGGACTTTTTTCTGAAAGCCCACTCCGAGAATTCCAGCCTTGCTTGGCCACAAAGGCCACCTGCCTAACCGCAAATTCTCGGTTTGTGGCCCTGTGTGCTCTGTACACTTTGATTTACACAGTGAAAAGGCTCATTGTTTGGTGGCATGCGGCTCTATTCACGCTTCCACATTCCCATTGCCTCTTTTCAAAGTGGGGACTATTGTGAAGCTGGTGATTATGATGCAAATTCGGCCTTTTCATTTCTTGGCAACACACAAAGGCCAATCACCATATATACAAGAGCATGCCTTGAAATAGTACTACCCCACTCCCCAGCGAAAAATGCTCCGGGCTACCTAAACTTGGTTCCTTGGTTGCCCGGTGGGCTAGCAAAAAATTCAGAATAAGCCTACCTGTTAAAACTTAGATAAATATATAATTGCTCGTCGTGATAATAAAATACAAGATCGCAAAAACTGAGTTGTTGTGAATGTGTTTTCAATTGTGTTTTTGAAACGTGTTGCTCGAGCAACAGGGCAATAAGCGACTGTGAACGCCATGAACAGAGTAGACTGGTGGGTTGTAGTACTGGTATAGCGTAGCACATGGTACGGCGCGATACGGCGCGATACGGCACGTGCACACTATTCTCGTTCACTGTTTAGGCCACTTCTGCTTCTGACTATGACTAATATGGACAAATCACACAATGTTAGTCAGGTAATCACGACGGCAAACTGGCCAACAATGTCCGTGTATTGCGTGGTAAGCGTACATGATGCATCCAGACGGGCGATAAACCACGTGCCATGGTAGGAACTCGTGAGCACAGAAAATAAATACATAAACAAGAGACCAACTTCTGAGAGTTAACTTGAAGAAATCCTCTTTAAACAGCAATGCTTTTTCAACCTGCAGCTCTACAGCTGCATGCGTGTACGACACTGATGTAGTTTTAATCAACTCGCGACTGGGACGTAAAGACTGGTTAGCACAAAATTTCCATCTTGCATTCTTTTGCATGGGCGCGGCGTGGTGGGAACCAGGGCAGCTTTAATTTCATTTCATTCACGTGAAACGTGAATGGAACTCGTGCAAATGACAGAAGTTTCTTTTCAAAAATTGCAAATGAAATAGGAAAACATATAAAAACAAGCGTTTTAACACAAGAAAGGGTTGTTGAAATGTGTTTTGTGAAGACAGAAAAGACATTGGCATTAATTTTTTTTTTTTACTTTTATAAATTTGTTTTTCTAACTTGCCAATAAAAATGTTAGGGTCGTGCCGAAAAGTAAGGGTCGGTCGGGAAACCGAAAACAGAAGTATTTTTTTGAGGGAAGAGGGCCTTATCAATTTTTCTGACCTTAACTGACCACAGCTAGCTACACTGGGCATTGAAGGAGTCCTTGAAAGCGTTTGATACGAAGTATACACAAAGCCATGTGCAAACAGCACCCTCTTCTGATTGGAAAAAGTTTTCTCTCGTTCACCGCGCACATGCGGAGGTCAGAAAGTAAGCAATAAGTAGCATTTGTTGCCGAACGTAAACAAACCCAAATGAGAGGAAAGGTGGAGCAAAGAGATGATTTTGATCCCGGCTCCGTCACCAGTGAGTCCAGTGACTTTTAACTAGCATGAATGCCTCTTTATTTATTTATACTATCAGCCTTTTATTTTCTGAAATGTCAAATTCTGCATTGGTAAGCTGATAACAAATTTCGGGTTTTTAACTTTTTTTTTAAATACTTGCTAGTAAAATATCCATCGAACTAGCCCAGTGGCCTAGCCAGGAAAAAAAGTTAGCGCAAGGCCTGAAGAGCCAGGGTATGCTTTCTTTCACCAAGTTCGCTCGAGCATGGACCGAGAATAATAGCTGAAAAGTGGGCTGAGGGATCTCAATTTTTACGGCGACTCTTACCACTTCACGGTGCCAAGGGATTACTAGCTGAATTTTAAAAAAATGTTTCCAGCTAAAAATGCAAAATTTTCATAGTGACTACCGGTATGTTTTGCTGGGATTTTAAAGGATTTTTTTATGTTGGTTGGTGGGCTGTTTCATCAAGCTTAATGCCAGACGGTAGAATGCTGTGGTGGAGATCCCTGACCAGTGCCAACCAGCATACATGTAGCTATAACACTGCTGGCCAACCATGAAAAAATGGAAGAAAAACATGATGAGTGCATCATGTACATGTATGTCCAGAATTTAATCTTGGGTTTAAACAAGCTTAACCATGTTAACACTGAATATTTAGCAGATCTAGCCAAAGAATGGCTGATTAGTATACTAACTGTAAGAGTATTTTTAAAACTTCTGGTTAGGCGTGAGGTCAAAATACAAACGCTTTTGAAAGTGTTCAACGCTTTGTAAACGGTAAGCCCCACGGACGGTCAACATCAAACAGACGAACACTTCAGCGATGCTGGCCAAACCGTTGCTGTCGAGTACACCTTGCACTCTGCAGCTTCCAGTAAACAATGGACAGCTCATCGCATTACAGCATCATAGACTTCTACGGTCTGGTGGATTAGTCATAACAATAGCTCTTTACTTTGCAGCTCCACAGGAGGATTTAGATCGGCAGACTGTTTTAACTTCCTGATAAAACACGTGTATTGAGTAGTTGTATTGCGCTGTCGGTTTCCAGACCCAGTCTTTTCAGGTCTCAATACCCTGTAATCTTGATATTTTGTCTCTGCAGAATCGAATATACTAACTCGAAATAGTATTTACCTGAATCATACATGACGTAGTGTTCTGTTCGCCAACATGTAGTTACAGATAAAACCTTTTTTTTGGCCCGTGTGCACAAGCTGGGGCTCAGCATTGAGCACTTGCAGGTTTTCATGTGTAGGATCGAGGAAGACACGTATGCGAACTACGCGCTTTCTACTTAGAAGCTGCACCTGCACAATTTAAGGATACAAGTACATGTTTTTTCTTGAAGTCAATAGTACATGCGTGCACGTTGCAATATGTTTTGTACGTAACATTCTTTTGTACTCTTTGAATACTTTGTGGCTGCACAAAATTCTTGTTGGAAAAACAAACACGTCGGGTTTTATACTTATCTCTGGTGTTTGACTTTACCTATTAAACTTAAATGCACAGTAAATTAAAACAATGAAAAATTTAATCTAGTGCTGCCGATGAACCACCGAACCGAGGCAAAAGTCATCAAACAAGGCACTTTTGAGCCGAACCAAACTGTTCGGTTTGGATGTACGGCTTTAATAAGGCATTTTATTGATGGTACAAGGGAAAACATACAAAAATTCAAAAAAACTTTAAAAAACGACTTGTACGGTGTGCTCCACACGTGCGTGAACATACTGAAACTTACAATGGCCCGCATCATGAGATGGTAGTAAAAAGCATGTGGTGAGAATCACTCAGAAATCAACCAAGAACACGCAACGTACGGCATTGTCGCTGATAACATTTCTAAATTCTCACTACATCCAATCGTGCTCATGTATATTCAGATTATTATTTTATTTGCCAATCTACGATAGCCACGCCCTTACGTTCCATTTTAAGGTAATGACGTTCCATACTAGGCCAATGGTCTCATAAATGGAA